TACAATTTTTTTTTTTCAAGATACTTTGTGTTCCAGAAGTCAAATCAAGCTGGCTTATAGAGATCAAGAGGGAGGACTTTTCCTCTTACCCTAAAATATCTTCACAGTAACCCATATATTTGCATCATCTTCCAATAAAGAACTGCATTATTATTAAACGTGAAACAGAAAAAAAGATTAGATTTACTTTTTTTTTTCTTCCACTTAAAGAAAAAAAAAACTCTGTAAGATAAAACTTTGTTTTAATCTCTCTTTAAATAATTTCCATATGTTCCTTATGGATATCCAATATGGATTACCTACCATTTCCATGGTATTAACAGCATTATAACGCCCAGGTCCCTGTTCTCCCTTTTATGTATTGTTTTTGTTCAGCTTATCCACCCCTCCCGTTAGGGCAGGAGGTAAGGAGTCACTGTTTTGGGCTAGTACTTTCGTAGCCAAAATCGTTTGGCACACGTCAAATAAATATAGGATTTAATAAAATTAATAGCAACAATGAAAATCTCAGTGCAGCTGATTGCCGCCATATATTTTGTGTTCCTAACTGTATATATAATAGCTTAAATTCCTAAAACTGTTCAACGAACTTGTGTGGGCACTTGCCCATAACCCCAGGAAGGACAGGCTTGGCTCCACAACACAAACTCCTGTACAGATCAGATAAATGACTTCATGGACGAAAGTGTTTAAGGAAGAGCTGCTCTTGGTGCTGGCCGCACCAAATGATTCTCCAAGTGCATGATGGGAGAATGAAGAAGCTACGAGCAGCAAGAACAACTCTTCAAAAGGACCAACTAAACCTTCCAAAAAAAATGGAGTTACATTATGTTATGTGAAAGAGCTACTAATAACATTCACAACTATGGCCGAGAAGGACATAACCCCATAAATACCAAACCTCTCAATTTGAGAGCTGTGTATCTATGTTGTGCTGCTGCCTATTTGGCAAAAAGGCACCAAAATGACAGTATAGCTTTCTTCTATGGATTACTGGAGAGGAAGTGAGCTGTGCATCATGCATTGTGCTCCCCCATAAACCACGCTTTTGTTTCTTTAATGTCTCCTGTTGCGATAAGCTCCTTTAAATATTGACTTGCGAATGTCATTAAAGCTTCTCATACATAAAATAACTTGTAAATCATGTTTAGTGGCCCATTAGGAAAGTGAGAACTAAGGCCCAGTGTGGTTCTGCAATTGTTACTGCGTTTTACAGTCCACAACTCCTCTTCTGTTAGTCCTTTGCCAGGGAATTTGACTTGTATGGAATGGACAGCTCAGACACCTTCAAAAACAAGAGTAAAGCTGAACACTTTGTTCGGGGAATTTATGACAAATCTGAACTTCGGTATGCACAACCACTGAAACGCTACTGCAGATACAGGTACAGGTGACATGTCATTTGTGATCAGAAGCTGACACTCACTTCCTGCTCTGGTTAAAGAACAACATTCATCGAGGCAGTTCAAAGGTCACTATTAGTACACATGCTATGACGTCTGCAATCAATGATCTGATATCATTTCAGTAAGGCCCCTTTCACATGGGCAATCTGATCGGGTCTGCCTGTCCATTTTCCGAGCAGACCCGATGGGATGCCCAATGTTAGTCTATAGGCAGCTGTGTGTACACGGAGGGGCTTCTGTTTACACCCAGTTACCCCCAACTCTGGCCAGATCCAGAAAAACAAAAACGAATCAGAAATCTGTTTCGCCTGCCCTGATCATGCTGGGTCAGGGGTAATTTGATGGAAACAGACATGTCCATTTACATCCGATTCCCTATAGGCCAAAATGGGGTCCATCAGTTTCAGCTTTTTTTTCCATTGCAAAGTGGAGCAAAAAAACTGTACAGACATGGATGTCACAACTGTGACTTCCGTTCCATACTGCTTTGTTTAGGAGGGGATCTGTGCACGGACCCCCTTTCTTATCAGCACGTCTGAAAGAAGCCTTAATCTCAGATCAGATCATTGATTAGGAGACACAAAGGTAAGTTGACAAGCCTATGTCTTAGTATCATGCAAACAGCACTGATTCACTGCTGGCACCATTCAGATTTCAGCAGCAGACCTGTCAGACCAAAAATGATATCTGATCGGTTGCTATTGGTTACTGCACTTTTCCTACTAGTTGAGAGACTCTCAAAGTTTGCATCTTTTAAATTTGTGATTCAGCTTCTAATTCAGAAAAGGCAAAGTCTAGAATGTTCCTCTTATTTATGTATGCCATGAATTCTGCAGAGAAGAAGCTGAAAGAGTCAGATCAGCATTGTTCTTTCTCCAGAGGAATCAGCAATATCATTTGCCAGCTTAATAACCTTCAATGCACAAGGTTGTATAGACGCGATATGAAATAGTCATTAATGAACAGCAAGATGATCACAAACACAATTTTGTCAGTGGCTGCGACGTTTGATTGGAAAAATGATTTGTTTCTTTTAGTATTCACTGTTGCATAACGCTACAAAAACGAGCACAGACTCCTTACAACTAGTACATCACCAAATCCATAGCAATCAAAGCACAAAAACACTGCCACATGGTTTAAACACATTCCAGAAACTTCCATTTGACTAGTTTGTCTAACAGCCATTTAGCCAGACACTGAGCCCTTCCACAAAACAGAACACTAACATATCAAAACAGACTTGAAAAGCAATCTAGGGCCATACCTGTACTGAAACACATCTGCAGCTCACTGGTGGAGTGGAACTGAACTCAAAAAGTGACGATTTGCTGTGTCCCAAGGAACATCTAGAAGAGTTAATTATGCCTAACACGTACCCTAATAAAAGCGACCTTTTGTCTTGAATTGCTCCTGAAAACAGCAGTGCAGTTCCTGATATGTGAGGGTGTCTAAGCACTCCTGTGCCTACAGCCTCATAGCTGTGTATCTGCAGCGCGAGATCTAATAAACTGCTGCCTCTGATTGTTCCCCTTGCTGGAGGCTCTGACATGAGGAAGCAAAGCCCTGTGCACCTCAACACAGGGATAGTGCAGAAAATCACATAAGACAGAAAATAATGGAGACTAGTCCCCTCTCCCTGGCTTTTTTTTTTGGGAGGACACAGCTCCCAGAGGTTCATTTCCTCTTTGAAAAAAAGGTGTCAGGTAAAAGGTTTTCTGTTGTAAGGTACATTAAATGTTTGCGTTACTTATGTTGTACTAATATTACTATATATCTTACTCCATTGAGGAGCATAGGGCCAAAGTAAAAGATTTGCACTGTTGATGGTTCCCAGCTTTTAATTTGACCTGCAGCCAGGTCAGGCTCACGTTGTACTTGGTGTAAGTAAAATTTTGTATTGAAAACCCAAACTTTGAAATCTAGTTAACACTTCTAGATTATCCCTGAAGCTTTTAGAGGTTGTTTCCTTTAAATTCATTTTTATGCTTCTCCGATTACGTCTTCCATTCAATAAAGTTCTAAGCTTTTCTATACCCCCTACTGCCCCCATTTCATTGACTCCTCAGGATTTATCCATTACTGCAAATGAGGAAGTAAGACTCAGTGATCTCTATTCTAATAATCTCTCATCAAAACAAGATGCAGCTTTGAAATATGATTCTGAAACCTAAAAGGTTTTAGTCATTAAGGGTTTATTCACACCTATGCGTTATAATACATATCAATGCATTTGCATAGGTCTGTCATTGTTTTTAGTTCTGCAGATTCAAACCTGTGCAGTGCATTGACGTGCCATGGCTGACAAAGTTAATGTCCACTACCTGATATGTCAATTTGCATTATTGGGGCTTTTGGCAGCGAACATCAACATACCTGCCCACATCATGAAGAAAAAAAAAAGCACAGGACAACACAGGCGCATAGGTGTAAATTCAGCCTTAACAAAACTTTTGGACACAGCTAGGCTATAAAAATTTGCTAAATAGTCTCAGTCATCAGCCAGTACACAAGTGGTCAATCCAAGTCGAGAAACGCCAAAATAAAAATAATTTTACCGGCACCTACTAAGTACCGTGCCAAACAATCTCAAAGAAGATCCCTTGCTTAGGAAAACAGCCCCTAACACCTTCAAGAACTTCCCGTTTTAAAATCATCTGTGACACACATTTTACCAATAACATTCTTTAATACTCAAATGAAACACTACTTATTTCATGATTTAATACAAAGCTTATAAAAAGTATAAAACTACTGGACAACCTACAGAAGGATACATACCTTCGAACCTAAAATACTTCTCAAACACTTACAGGAACCACCACAAAACTTTCCTTTCCATTCTCTTCAATAGGTAATTCCATACATACCTAAACCAACACGATCTTGAGTTATAAAAACTAACTTTCCTTTCCAATTTACCAGTTGAAATACTGGTAGTTCTGATCCAAGCCAAAAGAGGTTGAGCAGTCGGTGAAAACAGCATAACTGAAAGCCACGTGGGAAGCCCCAAACGTTCCCCTGTAAGGAATTTAAATGGAATTACATTGTAAAAATGTTCTCACTGGCCTAAAGCTCAACAATAAGATGATCTCTTGCATTTGACCGACTTTTGACTAGTCAATCACAGAAACTTGAAACTCGCATCTTTCACACGGGTGCTGTTCACTGCACCCGTCAGACATTTGTTTCTGGAAACTGGGAATTGTACTGATGAGTACTAAATGGTAAACTAGCACGGTACATTTTGCCATTATAGAAATCCTGAGTTTTGTTTGAAAGGCCATTTTGAAATCACTTTAAACACAGTCAAGACTGCTCCATAGAACGCTAGGCAACATACTAATACAAATTGTACCATCAGCAATGAGATGGTTCCACATACGTAGATTTCGTAGTCTTCAACATACAGGCAATGGACTTTTGTTTTTGATATGCAAATATAAATAAATAAATTATGGTGGGGTTAAATATCTTCTACTATCCTAAACTTGTTAATGAAGGGTCTGTGAAGGGTCCAAAAAACCATGCACACAAAGTCTTATGAACTGAAATTAAGACCGTAAACCTTATCCAATGCAACAAGCCAAATTCCCTGGCACAATAACATCAAGGCCTTAGTGCTGTGATCCTCATGTTGGGATGGGCAATGGAATAAAAGGCAACGCCTAGCGTGTGGATAGGCAGGGAAGAAACCGAGAAACAATGTAAGTGAATCCCATTAAGTCCCTTTTAGAACAGGCAGCTAAGTTCTCTCCTTCTGTAGATACTAGGATGCTGCAGAAAATGGTATGGATGCTGATGATATGGCAGCAGACTTCACAATGGTGATGACACTGGTGGTGGCAACCTTAGTTGGGGTAATAGGTCCCCTGGCGACTGTGCGGGCGAAGGTCTGGAGGGCTTCGTACTTAGAACGTAGAGCATCCAACTCAAGCTTCATACTGGAGTTCTCCCGCGCTAGCTTATCCACTTCTTGCTGCAACTCGACTCGCTGCTTCTCCAATTCCTCTTTCTGGGTGACACGCTTTACTCGGCAGCTGGCGGCGTAACCACGGTTTTTTAGGGTGCGCCTACGCTGCTTCAGGCGGATGATATCCTCTTTTGTGAGACCACGTAGGTGCTGGTTCAGCTCCCGTACAGACATTGACACGAGTTCATCGTCGCTTAGTACTGGGGCGTTCTCTCCCGCCTCCTTCTTTACCTGGAAAGTGGACCACAGGTTACCACAATGTCCATACATTATGAAAGATGGCAACATTCAAATACTATATATATATATAAAAAATAAATGTCACTTTAATTGTTTTCCAAAGGGACACATTTTTCGAATCTTTGACTATCAGGGACAATGGGCAATTATGTCAAAGGACTCAATCCTCATATAGGAGTACATTAACCTTTAGGCCTCCTTAAAGGGGATTGGTCTAGAGCAGTGGTTCTCAACCTGTGTAACCTCAGGACCCACATTTGTCCTTGGTCATTAATTGGTGACCCAAGTTGAACTGCAATGGAACAGATGGCATTGTCGTACCACATGTTCCATTGCGGGCGATAGAACTGTGGGTGGGAGATGCGTTTGGGGTGCCATTCAAATCAATGACAATGCACCTCCCACACCAGAAAGCACGGTAGGTGCAATTGTGTGGTACAGTGTGTTAATCACACGGAACTGTGAGATTAAAGCACCGCACTAGTGTGAATGGGCCTCCAAAAACAATCTCACACACAAATACATACTGCAAATTTTTTTTTCTTCATTTTTTCTTTTAAATCCACCCAGTCTCCCTACCTTACGAGAACTGGAGTGTATGCTCAGCCTGGGGTCCAGTGTGGGCCTTCAGTGCTGTGACGCATCCATATGTGCATTGCTGGTACAGATCCCTTGCACACTCTGTAGAGGTGCCGGGAGCCAGAATGTGACATCACTCCAGTCCAGGCACCTCTACAGGACACGTGAGGGAGCTGTAAGCAAGCCACTTATGTATGGAACTCCCTCGCGGCCTTAGCCGCATGCAAGCCCACCCCGCGTCAAGTTGACACTCGGCATTCTCGCCTAGAAAAGTAGAAGACACGCGGGTCACGACCCACCAGTTGAGAACCGAGGGTCTAGAGGTACAAAGGAGGTATCATTTTCTACCCATCTAACCCACATAGTCCTCACGCTACCCCTGCACTGAGCCCTACTGTGATTTTGGGATCTTGTGTAGTATCACAGGCAATATGTGTCCGCTTCTAGTGACCAAATAAACTTACAAAAATAAAAGATAAAGCTGCCACAATGACTAATACTTCACAATACTTTAGGAGAAAAATGTAAAAAGGCATAGTTCAGGAAAAAGTTCATTTCATGGGTTTCATTTCCCGACTGGTGGAAACAGATCATTTGGAAAATATGTTTTTCTTTCTAAGGCCAAGAAAGTATTAACAGGTTATAGCAGAAAAAACCCCCACAAAAATAGTTTTTACATTTCTAATTGAAATAAGAATGCTGATACAGATCAATTATGGAAGAATATTAACCTCTTGCCGTCCGCCCTTAGTAGAAAAACGGACGGACGGCACTGCTGCATTGGCGGGTTGCCGTCGCCAGACGGCATTTTTTTTCTGCTCGCGTGCGCCCCCTAGCGGGCACGCACGGGCAGAAAAGACCCGTCCAATGCGAACACCCGGTACCGGGTGTTTCACATATAGGCGATCAG